TAGTTCCTTTGCAGATGAGGGACTTCAGCTCGCAGGTGTGCCCGGGCTCACGCAGCGACGGGCTGGCAGGTGGCAGAGGGGAGACCGGGCCTGGGTCAAACCGCACCCCCAGAGGTTCCCAGGGCATGGGGAGTCCTTCGGGAGAGCTGGGAGAATTTAGCAGGAGAATGAAGCCCTCTTCCCTTCTTAGGTCTTACCGGGGCGGCTCTGGGTTCGGGGCTCAGCCCTGCTCTTTCTAGTTGCACAATCCAGGGCAACTTCTCCCTAAGCCCTGGTTTGCCCATCTGCAAAATGGGGACAGTGATGGTCCCTGAGCTGGGGGGCCTGGGGCATATGTTGTTGCTGTCAGAGTCATAACACTTCTTACGATGATGGTTGCAGTGAGCCTGGGCTGTGGACCAGACCACCTGCCACCTGCCCTGTCCTCGGCCTGTGTCCTGTGGTCACCGGACAGTTGAGAGCTGAGGTTGGGGACAGTGTAGAGCCCAGCCCTGCATGTGCCACACTGGGCATTTGGCCTGGGATGTCTGCTCCAGGCCCAGGTAAAGGAGCGGTCTGTCAGACCAGGAAACTGAGGCAGGGTCAGTGTGGCTCCATATCTGTGGTTAGTAGCTGAGCGACCCTGAAGATGCCTTGGGTTTGGCCTGCTCGGCCCTTTTAAAAGGTTTTTTTTTTTTTTTGGTTTTTTTTTTTTTTTTGTTTTTTTTTTTTTTTTTTGAGACAAGGTCTTGCTCTGTTGCCCAGGCTGGAGTGAGGTGGCGTCATCACAGCTCACAGCAACCTCGACTCCTGGGCTCAAGCGATCCTCCTGCCTCAGCCTCTCCAGTAGCTGGAACTGCAAGTACATAACACTGTGCCTGGCTAATTTTTTATTTATTCTTCTTGCTCTAATTGCCCAGGCTGGTCTCAAACTCCTAGCCTCAAGCATTCCTCCCACCTTGGCCTCCCAAAGTACTAGGATTACAGGGCAGCCCTTCTTAAAACTTGTGAATGAGCTGCCAGCCTTGAGGCCAGCCAGCGCCATGGACAGCTTCTAAGTTCTCGGGAGAGGTCAGGGATGCGGCTGCCCCAGGGCCGCGCGGCCCGAGGCTCCCTCTGGCTGGCGAGAGGCACCGGGGTCTCCCAGCGTCCCGGCCGCCCGAGCTCGCCCCTCTGCAGAGTGGGTTCCGCCATCCCCGCTGCGCCCGGGGAACAAACGAGGGCGCACGGGAGGATTCCGTGAGCTGTCTCGGGTGCAGAGACGTGTTCAGGTTGGCGCTGCTTCGTGCAGGTGTCGCGTTGCCGACTTGACTCCGAGGACGGAGGGTCTCCCTCCTCTCCCCGGGGCCCTTTGCTGATCGGGCAGTGGTGCCCATCCAGGGGTGTGGGCTGGCTGGGTGGAGAGCTCGCGCTTGACCGACGCCGCCTGCCCCGGGCACGGAGTGAGCGGTGGAGGAGGACCAGGACTTGCCAGCACCCGGGCAGGGCCTGGCAGGTAGTGTCGAGGCGTGTGGCATGCCACGGCCCACGTGGGGCCCGGAGCCACGTGGACGGCACAAGCCTGTGTAGAGGGCGGCCGCTCCCAGCTCTGTGCCTTTAACGCCAGGTGGGAACGCGGTTGGGCCGGGCATCGTGGGCGCGGTGTCCTTGGGCCTCCAGTGTGCAGCCTCTACCAGCAGGTGCTGGTTGGTCCGCGAACCCCACGGGCGGTGTCCCCGGAAGTGGCACCGTGGGCACGAAGGTGCGTGGGGGGCTGCTGTCGGGGGGCAAGAGCCCCTCAACGCATGGCCAAGGGCGGTCGGCGGTGGGTCCACCCAAGGGCCCCTCCTGGCGGTGCTGGTGCTGGGCGGGGCTTGATGAGACCCGGACGGGGGGTCTCGGGGCCTCCTTGGCCAAAACACCCAGCTTAGGGTGTCCCCTTATTGATGTGTGGGGGTGCTGAACTGCTGGCCACCCCGAACCCCTCCATGCCTCCGCAGCTGGCGTGCCCTGCTCCCACCCTGCTCTGCTGCCTCCCGTGCACGCGGCCTGTGCCCTTCGTGGCCTGTGCCCTTCGTGGCCTCTGCCTCCCCCTGGCGCCAAGGCTGCGGCTCCTTCAGGCCCCCCTTCCCGGGCCTTTGTCGGACACTCCCCCGTGAGCGCAGAGCATTCGGTCGTCGCTCTTTGAGGGCTCCTGTGCCTGGGCTGCCCTCCTGTGAGCTCCCGCCGCCCATGTGCAGCATCAGGGACGCTCCCGGGCTGAGCACGCCACGCACGTCGTCCACCCAGGCAGACTGTGACGGGCACAGAGGGCCACCCGGAGCCAGGCCGGGACACGGACCCTCTGACCGACCGAGCCGCCGTGTCCCCTCCCCACCCCAGGGCCCTTGACTCCAGGCCAGGCCCAGCGCGCCTCCGTAGCAGTCTCCTTCTTCCGGGCCTGTGCCTTAACAGTGCTGGTGGCCCAGGGACCTGGGTGGTGACGTTGCGTGCCTTAGGGTGCCCCGTGATCGTTGCTGGCAGTGATTTTGTCAGTCTGTGGACACACACACACACGAGCCAGATCCTCCTGCCCTCTGGCCGGCCTGGCAGGGTCTGTCCACACCCGCTCTGCCTGCAGTGGCCTGTCCATCTTCCCCTTGGCCCTGCCGGCCCTGCCACCCCAGCTGCTGTCTCGCCACCACTGTCTGGGTCCCGTGGGCTGCCAGGGCCCGGGGCAGGGACAAAGGCGGCCGCACCCCTCCCTCCCTGCAGCCTGGTGTGGGCAGGGCCCCTGGAGCCCGAGGGAGGGGTCGCTGGGGTGAAGAGTGCGCGGGGCTGGGGGCAGGGCATCGCAGGCCCTCGGAGGAGGGGCGTGGGTGCCACACAAAGCAGGCCCTGTCTGTGCCCTGAATGCCCGGCTTTATCCCGGCCTGCCAGACGGACTGGGCCCTGCAGAATCAGGCCAGGCTGCCCCGGCCCTGGACCTGCCCCGTCTGGGAGACAGGAGGTGTGGTGTGGCGACCTGGCCCCGAGGCCTGGCCCCCGCCCGAGCCTCGCTCCACCCCCCTGGCAGGAGGGTGCGGGCGTCCCAGGGCAGCTCCGGGCTCGGGCCGGATTCGCAGCGCCCTGGCCTGCTCGGGGCTGCGGAAAATCTCCCCACAGCCCTTGGCCAGTTCATCCAACCCCCGGCCCTGCCTGGGGCCCGGCAGCTTTGCACTCGGGGACTCAGTGCGTCTGTCACTTTACCTACTCACCTGTGGAATCGGGATGATGAAAGCACCTGTTCTAGGTGTGCCTGACCCGCCCCGCCCGACAGGGATCCACAGCCGGGGACTGGCGACCGGGCCCTGCTTTGCCGCGGGGGCGGCCCTGGGCAGCGTGGGGTGTTAAGCAGCATCCTTGCCCCCCACTAGACGCCAGTAGCACCCCCGTTGTGGCAGCCCAGGGTGTCTCCAGACGTTGTCACGTGTCCCTCGGGGTGCAGCCGGGCCCGTCGAGAGGCGCCGACTCAGTAGCCGTGCGTGCAATGGCATTGCCGGGCAGCTGTGCCGGGGGCCGAAGTGTCGTGGGAAGGCGGGAACGGGGCAGGCCGGGGTGGCAGGTGGACATGGGGCAGGTGACTGCCTCAGTGTGGGGAAGCGTCCGCCACTTCATAAACGGTGAATGTCCCGTCACCTCCCCCTGGGGGAAACTGAGGCTGGTGGCAGGAGACGGCGGCTCTCCCAGGGCTGGAGTTTGTCTGGGAACGTGTTCCAGGCCCCACCTGAGACCTGCCCTCGGCAGCGCCCCCCCCCCAGCTGGAGGCCTCCCTCGGGGGGAGGAGGAGGAGGAGGAGCTGAGTCGGTGGCACTGGCTTGGCCGTGACCCTGGGCGTCCTCTCCGGCACACCAGGTCTGTGCCCCATGGGCCGGGCATCCGGCTGGGGAGGGGCAGCCCTGCCGCTGCCGCCCGGCCCGCTCCTCGCGCCCCCTCCAAGGGCCCCGGCGTCCGCCCGCCGCTGCGGGCTCTGCTGGCACCGGCCCGGCCAGCTGCCGCGACGGCCTCGGCACGCTCGCCTGAGTCAGCAGGAGCCGCCGGCTCGGGCAGGATCAAAATAACCTCCTTCCTTTTCCAGCACTTGAGGGCTTTTCCGCCTTCCAGGGGAAAAACAAACCACCCCCCCCCAAAAAAAAACTGTAAAGACGAGACGGCCGCACTTGCAGCCATCTGGACGGTGGGCCTCTCCGCCGAGGGCAGGGGCCTCACCACCCGTCCTGTCGGGCGGCGAGCGCGAGTCTCGCGTGTGCTGGGCGTGGCCCGTGCGGTGCGTGTGTCTGCGTGCTGTCTGCTTATTTGCGTGCGCTGCGGATGTTGTGTGGGCTTGTGCACACACGTGCACACGGCTTCCCTTGGTTCGTTCCACCAAGTTCCAGCGCCGCACCTGCTTCCAGCACCCCCTCTCCCCGCTCTGGGGGCCCTCTCCCCGCTCTGGGGGCCCCTCTCCCCGCTCTGGGGGCCCCTCTCCACGCTCTGGGGGCCCCTCTCCACGCTCTGGGGGCCCTCTCCCCGCTCTGGGGGCCCTCTCCACGCTCTGGGGGCCTCTCTCCACGCTCTGGGGGCCCCTCCTCCCCGCTGCCCCTCCCAGGCTCCCCCGGACAGGTGACAGGGCCGGGACCTCTGCCTGAGCCCTTGCCCGGCACAGGGGCCACGTGCAGGCCTCTCTGCGGGTCACTCCTGCTGCAGGGACAGCCGGGGAGGCGCTGGGAGCAGAGCTGGGGTCCTCCGTGCCGGCCCCCAATAATGCTTGGGTCGATCCCTACAAGTGGGGTGTCTGGGCCTCGGCTGTCCCCCCTGGGTCCTCCCAGCCGACACCGCTTCCCAGGACAGCTGCGTCCCCAAACACGCCAGCCCCGGGCACCGTCAGTGACCTTGCCGGGAGGAAGTGCCTTGGCGTGGCGCCCCCGGGTCTTGGTGGCGTCCTTGCTCTGCCAGGAGGTGTGAAGTTCACAAGGGCTGAGCCCTGCGCCCAGCGGCCCACGGGTCTGCCTCCAAGTCTCACGTGCTTCTCTCTGTCCCCACAGCGGAGCTGGAGTTTGTTCAGATCATCATCATCGTGGTGGTGATGATGGTGATGGTGGTGGTGATCACGTGCCTGCTGAGCCACTACAAGCTGTCCGCACGCTCCTTCATCAGCCGGCACAGCCAGGGCAGGCGGAGGGAGGACGCCCTCTCCTCGGTAAGCGGGGCCCCCACCCCTGGGTGCTTGCGGGCACCTCGATGCAGGCTCTGAGAAACCCTCTGCTGTCAGTCCCCCCCCGCGCCCCCCACCCCCGTAGGCAGGAGTGAGACACCTGCCTGGCCGACCTGTCTGAGCCGCAGAAGGGACAGGACGAGGAAGTGGGCGGCAGGGAGGGCTCAGGGTCGTCATGCTCGGTCGGCTCCTGAGCATCTTCTGCCTCGGGCGGGACACCGTCCTGGACTCCGGGGCTCGTGCAGCACCAACAGGGGCTTGCTGTGACGGAGCCGACGTTCGCGGGGAGGTGAGGACAAGAGGTCGGGGGTGACGGTGCTGGGCGGGGCGCAGCGAGGGCTGGCCTCTCTGTCCCTACCTGGGTGGCTGGGGCCGAGCAGGGACAGGGCCAGGGGTGCTGGGGCGGGCAGTGGGGACACGTCGTGGGCACAGGCAGAGGCCTGCGGGTGAGGGCAGGGCACGAGGACGTGGCTTTTGACTCTGCACCCAACGGGGCGGTGCGGGGGATGGTGCCTGCTGCCTTCCTGTGGGTCCGACACCTGCCCTCGCGCCCGGGCCCTGCGGGTGTCTGGCCCCGTGGTCAGTCCCTGGTCCATTCCACTTCCTGTGTGTGAAAGGGGTTCGTGGTTGTTCCACCTCCCGGGGGCCTCGGGGCTCAGCACAGAGCGAGGCCGGTCATTGCCGGCTGCGAGAGCACTTCCGTCCTGTGGCGCGTCCACTCCGTGGGCCGCCGCGGAGCCCACACGGGTGCCTAGGACGCCCCCCTCCCCCGCGCTGGGGGTGGCTGTGAGCCAGTGCCGTGGGGCACGGGGCAGGGGCTGGGAGGGGCAGTGGCGCACCTGCGGGACGCCCCCGGAGAGCTGCTCCTAGGCCAAGCGCAGAAAGACGAAGGGGGATGGGCGCCGCGTGGAGGACCTTGCTCTTCGGGTAACCCCAACTTTGATGTTAGTGGAATGGTGAGCGTGGTCCGGCGTTCTGGAAACTCAGGAACATCCCCCCAGGACTCCACAGAGTCAGGGGCTGAGCACTGCGAACACCGGGCTCCTCCTCGGGGCACTCTCTGCCCTGCAGCTGGTGTCCTCCCGCAGGTGGGCGGGAGGGAGGTGCAGCCTTAGTCTCCAGGGGCCTGGCGCCCAGGTGTGTAATTTGACAGTGAGGGGCAGGGGGCAGCCCCGGGGCTGCAGGCGGGCTCGAGCCGGGCGTGCCAGGTGTGGGGAGGACTCGCAGAACAGGCGGCGCTGGGCATGGCCTCCTCACTGCTGGGGACACCTGGGGCTGGTGGCAGCGCCAAGCCCGTGGGCTGAGCCAAGTCGGCCGAGGAGTCTGCTGGCTGCGGCCCGAGCCGGCAGGCTTATCCCTGGCGGGTCTGGGCGTCTCCGCTTGCGTCAGGCCCCAGCCTCAGTGCGTCACCGGGTTGTCAGGGCAAAGGACATCTGCCCTCCAACAGGCACGCCGGCACCCCAGCCCGAGGCCCGTGTCGTGTCCCCGCGGTGTCTGGGGGCAGACTCTGTGTCTGCTGCTCCGTCTGCTGCTCCGAAGGAATCCGTCGCGTGGAAGCCCAGGGCTCACCTGCCTGTTTGTTTTCGGTTGCTGTCGCCCAGCAACAGGGCCACTGTCTGCCTGGGGGTGAGCCACCTGCCTGGGACCTCAGGGCTCACCCACTTAGAGGCGGAGCTGGCATCAGAGAGGCAGGACACTGGCCTGAGGCTACAGTGCTTGGTGGTGGTGGTTTGAAGAGACCGTGGCCCCCTTTGTCCTCCTGTGCTGGGGGGAGCGGAGGCAGATGAGCCTTGGGAGCACGGCTGGGGGAGCACAGTCTGGGAGCACGGCTGGGGGAGCACAGTCTGAGAGCACGGCTGGGGGAGTACAGCCCAGGGAGCACGTGCTGCAGGCTGGGCCGGCTGGGCCCTCGGAGCCTCAGTGTGTGTGTCTGTGGGTTGGGGTGAAGCCAGCACCTCTCTGCCCACCCTGTGCGGGCCTAGGGCCCCGGGGAAGGGGAAGCTAGTCGCGTGCCGGGGAGCATGCACGTGCCCAGGTCTGGGCAGGAAGGGCCTGGCCGTCGCCAGGCAGGTAGCCCTGCTTTAGCAGCCGGGGCTTTGCTGTTGGGGAGGAGGGCGGGGTCCGGCTCCCTGGACACCTGAGCCTGAGCCTGATAGAAAGTCTGTCTACCCAGCCGCCCGCACAGGCCCCCGGGGAGGCCCGGCTGGGTAAACACGGAGCCCTGTTATACCGAAAGCAGAACGCGTCGGCCCCCCTGGGGACCCCCTGCCAGACAGGCGCGTCTGAGGAGTCTCTGGGCCCCGTGACCTCCCACAGAGACCCCAACACAGCTGCTGCCTGCCTGGGCCCAGCCGGCGTCCCACTGCTCACCTGTGCCCTGCACCTGGCGTGGCTGTCCTGTCTGAGCCCCTTTGCAGGGTGACCCCTGGGAGTCCTCGCCTCCCCGTGTCCAGCCAGCGACTCGTGCCCCACCTGCCTGCCCCTCACGGGCAGGTCGCCCCTCCCGTGACCCTGGATGTGCTCTGGCCCGTCACCTCACCGAGTGACACTGGGTCAGTGTCTACCTCTCAGTTGCCACCTCCCCACTGGTCAGACAGGGTAAGGAGGGTGGCCAGAGGGTGAGGCTCAGGTGCAGGGCAGCCCCTAGGCACAAGGTGAGTCCGTCCTGACGGGACAGTCTTGAGAGCCACAGAGGCCCCTAGTGGCCATTTGGGGAATTGCCGTCCTCTGGCAGTTCCCACCTAGGCTGCAGGTAAGACACATCCCACCTGGGAACCCTCAATTAAACGTGCCCGCAGGGAAACTTCTGGAGTGATGGATGTGTTCGTTATCTTGGTTGTGGTAACAGGCTCTTGGTAGATACATATCCCCGGACTTACCCAATTGCAGACTTTGAATATGAGTTATTACATATCGGTTATATCTCACTAAAGCTATAAAATGAACAGACATCCCTTCCCCAGGGCCCAGGGCTCTCCCTGGTGGCGTCTTGGGCAACTCAGACACCCTGATTGCAGCATGGGGTCCCCCTTTCCTTGGAGGAGCTACAGCAGGGGACTCAGCAGGGGCTGGGAGCTTCCTGCGGTGGTGCTATGCCCGTGCCACCGGCCCAGAGCTTGGCACAGAAGTGACACCGTATTCTGCGTTTGTTGGTGACCAAACTGTTGTTTTATGGCAAAGCATCCCCCTTGGGCACTTCAACTCTCCTCTGTTTCTCCACCTATAAACTGGGATGTCAGTAATTACAGGTTTGTTCATAATTTAGAGGGAGAGATGGACTGTGGAAAGATAAATAAATACACAGGCAAGGTGGCTGCAGATAGGACAGGCGACAGGCTAGTTCATGGGAGAGCGCCTTTAGATGATGGCGTCAGAGAGAGTTCACAGGAGACCCTGGAACTGAAAACAAAGAAGGAGCTGGCCAGGCAGCGAGGCAGCCAGTGCAAAGGCCCTGTGGCACATGCTTAGCATGTCGGGACACCAGGGAGCTGGTCGTGGTGGCTGGCCAGAGTACAGTGGTGACACCCAACACTCTCATTCCCTCCCTTAGGGGCACGTGGGCTCCACGTGTTTTTTACGTTTGACCTGTTAAGATCTTTAACCCCACCAGGCCAGTACTGTAGTTATTCACATTTTCAGATACGGGAACAGCAGCATCCGAGTTCAGTAACTTGCCCCAGGTCGCACGGCCAGCAGGTGGTCCAGGCGGGGAGAGTCAGACCAGGAGGGGCGACCACGCTGGGCTTTGTTGCAAGCCGTGGGAAGCTGCCTGGGGGCTCTGAGAAGGGGGACCCTCGAATGGGTGCATGTTTTGGAAAGGGTGAGTCCGGTTTCCAGGGACAGCAGCAAGAGCTGAGGGACGGGTGAGGAGGCAGTTGTCTTCGTGTCCTCCAGATGGGCAGGGAAGCGCAGGGGTTCAGGACCCATTCCCTGGGCGACCGGGCTCAGAGCCACAGCCGGGCTCTCCCACCCCCGCCCACCACTGACCCTGCCTGTCCCTGTCCTCCCCTGCAGGAAGGATGCCTCTGGCCCTCGGAGAGCACGGTGTCGGGCAGCGGGATCCCAGAGGTAAGAGCCGGCGCTGCCTCCCCTCCCCTGCCCCACCCGAGCCCTGCCCCTCTGGTGGCCCTGCCGGGAGAGCACTGGCTGCCAAAGGCTCTTACTCTCTTCCCTGAATCGGTGTCCTTGCCTAGCACTGTAGACTCCCTGTCCCCGGAGGGTGGGGGCACGAGTGGGCCGCCCCGTTTCAGGGGGGCTGTGCGGCTCTGCCTTGCACGCTCCAGGGCTCCCGGGGGACAGGCGGAGGCCACGTCCTTGCTGGGCCCCTTTCCTGCCGCCTCCCGCTGCCCAGGGAGCCGAGTCAGTGCAGCCAGCCCCCCTGTCTGAGGATCTGCGTCTGGGGGGGGCGGCCTGAGACAGCCGCCCTCCTCACTGCCCTCTGCTCCCTCCAGCCGCAGGTCTACACCCCGCCCCGGCCCGCCGACCGCCTGGCCGTGCCCGCCTTCGCCCAGCGTGACCGCTTCCACCGCTTCCAGCCCACCTACCCGTACCTGCAGCACGAGATCGACCTGCCGCCCACCATCTCGCTGTCGGACGGGGAGGAGCCCCCGCCCTACCAGGGCCCCTGCACCCTGCAGCTGCGGGACCCCGAGCAGCAGCTGGAGCTGAACCGCGAGTCGGTGCGCGCGCCCCCGAACAGAACCGTCTTTGACAGTGACCTGATGGACGGCGCCGGGCCCGGCGGCCCCCGCCCCCCCAGCAGTAACTCGGGCATCAGCGCCACGTGCTACGGCAGCGGCGGGCGCATGGAGGGGCCGCCGCCCGCCTACAGCGAGGTCATCGGCCACTGCCCCGGCTCCGCCTTCCAGCACCAGCAGGGCAGCGGGCCGCCCTCCTTGCTGGAGGGGACGCGGCCCCCGCACACACACCCGGCGGCCCTGGAGAGCGCCGGCCTGTGGAGCAAGGAGAAGGAGAAGCAGAAAGGACACCCTCTCTAGGGCCCGGCCGCTGCGGCGGGCGGGAGGCAGAACGCTCTAGAACGCTCTGCACCTCTCTCTGCACCTCTCACGGGAGGAGAGAGGGGGAGGCGGCGGCACACGGAACACGCAGCGTGTGGCCGTCCTCTCCCGCCTCTCTGTGTATAAATATTTACATGTGATGTCTGGCCCGAATGCACAAGCTACGAAAGCTTGCAGAAAATCCACGTTTCTTTGTCGAGATGCGTCTTGAAGGCAAAAGAGAAAAAAAAAATTCTACAGTAGTCTTTTTTTGTTTGTTTGTCTCTAGTTGAGCTGCGTGCGTGAATGCTTATTTTCTTTCGTTTATGATGATTTCACTTAACTTTAAAGACATATTTGCACAAAAACCTTTGTTTAAAGATCTGCAATATTATATATATAAATATATATAAAATAAGAGAGACTGTATGTGCGAGGGCAGGAGTATTTTTGTATTAGAAGAGGCCTATTAAAAAAAAAAAAAGATGTTTTCTGAACTAGAAGAGGAAAAACAAATGGCAGTTTTTGAGTGCCAACTCAGAAAGTGTGTATTACCTTGCAAAGAAAAAAAATTACAAAGCAGGGGTTTAGAGTTATTTATATAAATGTTGAGATTTTGCACTATTTTTTAATATAAATATGTCAGTGCTTGTTTGACGGGAGCCTCTCTCGCGCCTGCCGGGACCGCAGGGAGAGGTGTGGGGATCTCGGAGCCGACGCCGGCAGGGGTGAGGTCCCGGCTGCGGGGGGCGTCCCGAGGGGCCGCTTCCCTGCCGCGTGGAGCTCTGTCCAGCGACAGGGTGTCGGCGCCACACATTCCCTGCCGAAGGAGGCACGTCTTTTTCCCCGTGGGCCAGACAGCCCCGCGATCGCAGACGGCATAGGAAAGCCCCGCGGAGGCGCCCGGTCCCGGGCGGTGGTCTTGCCCCTTCCCCAGATGACAATAAACTGTTACCGAAAGAATCCGCCTTTCCTCTTATTTCCAACCGTGGAGGTCCCCGTGGGGAGGAGCGGGCCACTCCCTGCGCACGTTGCCGGGGACACCCCGGGACACCCCAGGGCGGAGGTGCAGGTCTGCGCAGGCGCCCGGCGGGTCGGTGGTGGCGCTGCCGGGAGGCTGGGCTCGCCGGCAGGAGGAAGGACCCGAGCTGTCAGCGGTCGGGCCTCACCCGTCTGTCCCCCCACCCGTGTATGGACTCCCACACGAGAGGCTGGAGACAAAAAGGCGACAAGCCCGGGTTTCCCCCGGGACGTGGGGAAGCGTTACAAGGGGCAGAGCAGGCGAACCGGCCACCGGGCCCCGGGCTTTGGGAGCACACGTGTCTCCCGTCTCCGTTCCCGCCCGTTCGGTCCCTCCCCCGCAGGAGCAGTGGTTGGGCGTGTTGTGTGTCTGTGTTGTCACGCGTGTTGTTGTCGTCGCTTGCCAGGTCTGCACTGAGCAGCTCCGGGGTCGGCGGGTGCCCGGCTGGGGGTGTGCAGGGGCGCAGCAGGAGGGGCAGGTGGCAGGAGAGAGCAGGACTGGGGTCCCTCCCGGCCCTGCCGCGGGCTCCTGGCCACCGCCACCCCCATCCCATGGAGGCGTCTGTCCTCTGCTGGTCCACGTAAAAGTGGACCAACGTAAAAGAAAGCCGTGAGAGGCAGTAACTCGGGCGTGAAGCCACCTTGCTATTACTTGAAAACAGAAGTCTGAGGGCAGCCTTGGAGTTCTGACCGTGTAAACTACTTATGCACGTATGCATGTTTTGAGCACATGGCAGCCAAGAGGGCATGCGGTCTGCACGCTGACCAGCCTGCTAGAACCTTCTCGTCCCCGGGCAACAGCAGGACCTGTCGCTCCCTGGGGTCTTGAGCGTAGAGCCTGCTTCTCTCTTGAAGAGGGTGTTTTGAAAAGATCGTGCAGAGAAGTCAACCTAGTTTATCCTGAAAGGAAGAGGGACACACTTACAAAGCTAATTTAAACGTATCCTTATGAGACGCGTCGCTAGTGCCTTACCGAGGAAGCAGTGGCCCTCTTGTCGTGGGCGGGGGGTCGTGGACAGCGCCTCGCTCACTCGGGACTGGCGTCCCCCCCGGGGTCCACAAAGAGTTTTGCTTCTTTTCAGACGCCCCATTGCCCACTCCTGGCCTCGCCCCCTCCGCCGTGGATGTGCCCGGCTGCTAGGCGAGCTGCCCCCTGCTGCCCCCGGCCTTTTTCATCAAGGACTGAGTGTGACTCCCGTCTGGGTCAGAAACCTAGGCGTGGACCCCGTGTGTGCGGGCGGCGTCAGCCAAAAGCCAGGACACGTCCCCCGTGTCCTCTGGAGCCAAAGTGTTGGAGTCTGGTCGCTTCGTGGATGGTCTGGATGTGCTGGGAGAGAGGAGGAAGGGGAGGAGCGGGCGACTGACCCCAGCCCTCCATCAAGCCAGTACTGAAGTCCAGTGTCCCTGGGCTCCAGGCCCAGTGGGTGACAGTTGCACTGGGGAGAGTGGCTTGTGAAAAGCAGGTGCATCCCCAGAAAACCGACAGGGCGTCTGTCTGGACACTACGACCAGAGCGAAGCTCTTGGCGGCTCTGCTTGAGCCCAGAGCTCTGGGGGCTGCACGCGTTCCTCTAGATGCTGGTTGTCGTGTTGTCTTTGAAAAGCCTCGGAACCCCCCTTGGGAAGCCCCGATCCAGGAGGCAGCTAGGCGGGGTCCTCGGAAGTGGCTGGGTGGAAGGAGAGGGAGAGGAGGGCAGGCTGGCTTCGGGGTTCTGCTGTTCCACCCGGGGCGGGAGAAGGTGGCCGAGTGCCGCTCCTGCCCTCTCGATTCCCGGCGTGCGGCCGCCACCTTCCCTGCGGAGGAGGAAGGTCGTCTCCCCTGCAAGGTCGGCACGGGTGTGTCAGATTGTACCGAGAGCCACCCGTGTCCCCCAGAGCCCAGAGTTTCTGCAAAGAGTTAAAAGTGACCCCACGTGTCGCAAAAGCCCGGTCGGGGCGAGACCCAGACGCCGTCCCTGTCCTCGGTCGTCCTGTGTGTTGTGCGTTCCAGAGAACCGTGTTTTCCCTACGTGTGCGACACACGCCTTCCAGAACCACAAAACATCTTGGTGATAAGGAAAGAAAAAAAAAATGTTTTTTTCCAGAAACAGTGCTTGAAGCTTTGCTGTACTATAGAGCGCAGAAGGCCACAGCCCGCTCTCCGCTGCCTGCCTGATTCCTGTCGCTGCTGCTAAGAGGCTGCGTTCCGGCGTGGGAGCGCCCTGCCTGGCAGCCCTGTTCGCCGAGTTCTGTTGGAGCTAGACTCATGTCAGCTCTGCGCGGCTCGCCCACTGCGGCGCCCACGGTGCTGCCGCCTGCGACTGTGTCTGGATGCCAGTCCACGGGCCTGAAGACGTTGCTTGTTGTGTGTCGGCACTCATTAGTGGCAATGACGGCATTCTGAAAAGCTGCAATACTTACACAATAAATTTTACAATTCTTTGGAACAAGGCGTTTTCACTTCTTTGGCCATGTGTGGCTTTTCTCGCCACCCCTTACCCGCTCAGCAACAACCCCAGGGTGCCTTGAGCGGAGAGGAAGCGATTCCTCCGGGCTGCTGGGCCGCCTCAAACCATGCGTTCAGCCTCTCTGTTTAGTTCAGGCAGCATTCAGAGAGCGCAGTGAAAACACTTGCTCAGGCAGGTGGTTCCAATCAAAGGGGAGGTATTGGGGTTAAGTGAGTTTGCAAAACATTGCGTGTTTTTCCTCCCTCTTGGGAAAACATTATTCACCATAGCATGATGAAAGCTCTGATAAGATCTGCAAGAAAAACTGTCTTAAGTGGGGGCCTTCCAGAAGTAAACCCTGTGATGTGCATTTGTGTGCAAGGGGTGTATTGAGGATGCGCTCCCAGGGAGACAACTAAAGGAGTCGGGGGAGAAGACCTAGGAGGGGGAGAAGCTAGAGCAAGGGGGACAGTTTTAGGCAAAGTCCCAGCCTTAGCCTGATCCCAGGGGGCCTGTGGAGAGCTCTGGATTAAGTTGCACCTGGGAAAGGCATGCTCAGACCCTCCTGCCTCTTGGTGCATAAAAGTGGAGCAGTGAGGCGTCCCAGCAGCCCCAGAATGGTCCTCCCAGGTGCCAGCCATTAGCAGCAATGCACAGGGAGGCTGGGGGAGGGGCGCACAGACCTCCAAGGGGGTTTCAAGGGGGGTTGTGGGGCACCCACACTGGCCACTACAGAAACTCTCACTTATTTTGCTAAGTATACTTGAGCCTTGAAAATGTGGCTTTTAAGGCACACTGTCCCCCACCCTGCAGTCAAAAATCCACATATAACTTTTTGTTCCCGCAAACTTACCTACTTACCGATAGCCTACTATTGACAGGAAGCCTTGCTGATACCATGAACAGCCGATTAACACATGAGCATCTACATATAGTTTGTGCCTTCACAACAAACCCACTTCTTCTTAATTTTTCTATATTTCTAGGCCATGTGGTTCAAATTGTCACACTCCAAAAATTTTCAAATATATTTATTGAAAAAAAGTAGATGCGAAAGTGGACCTGCATAGTTCAAACCTGTGTTGTTGAGGGTCAACTGTAACGTCTGACCAGAGTTTTTAAAGAGGCCCGTAGAAACCCCGTAACCCGGGGGGGACCGCTGCTTGGCCTCAGTCCCTGAGTTTCCTAAGCGTCTGCACCGCAGGGCCCGAGAAACACCTTTGGGAGATGCAAAAGCTGCACCCCGCTGGATTGGGGCAGAACTCAGTGCCCACCTGTGCCCTTTTTCTGCTCAAGAAAAACCTCGGCGAATACAAAGAATTGGGCAAACCCAAGACGGCCCATGACTCCTCCGTGGCCAGGGCAGGGGGCCCGGTGCTGCGCCCCAGCCGGCTCCGGATGGTTTCCAGTGGTCATTCCCGTCACAGACCTCAGTCACCTGGTCTGTAGAATGGGTTGACTTCGGCGCCCGTGAGATGCTCGCACCGGTGTCCAATGAGCTAAGGCAGGGGTCCTCAAACGTTTTAACAGGGGGCCAGGTCACTGTCCCTCAGACTGTTGGAGGCCGTTGGAGAGTGCGGCACACGTTCCACACATGCGCACTGCTGGCCCGGGTAGAGCCGGCTACTAAGCAGGACAGGCAGCGGCGGCAAAAACACCCGGAGGACCGGATACATGTCCTCGGCGGGCCACACGTGGCCCACGGGCCGTCGTTTGAGGACGCCTGAGCTGAGGCCTGCAATGTCATATCCC